CACATTCTTTAAACGTGTGCGTGGACTCAACAGGCTCTTGAGGACTGCGCTGCAGAAAAACACTCAATGTGATCACGTGCTGCTGAAGGTGAAAGCTCCGCAAAATATCTTGTGAACAAGTGGACAGATTTTAATGAAATTGTCAAGGAAATAATCATTAGATCAACTGGTTGCCTTTTCAAGTCCAATTCAAGATGGCCGCCACAGCTAATCAACCTTTAATACAAACTGATCTGTTGCTCAGTTGATTTACAGATGTTGAGCTAAAATTGTTTCTGTTAGCAGAATAGCGTTGTTTTTACAACTCATAAACCTTCGTCCCCCCCAAAAAAATCAGAATAGCTCGATTAGCTGTAGCAGCCATCTTGAACTTTAGCCAACACCAAGTAAGAGTGGAGAAAAAAAACAACCGATGGGTAGGAAACCCCTCAAAAGCTGTTAAAACTGGCAAAAACCATAACCAATTTGTTGGAAACCCCTCAAAATCTGCTAAAAAAGGAAGAAGAAAAAAAAACAAACATAACAGATTGGTGGCAAACCCCTACAAAACGGCTAAAAGAGAAAAAAATCATAACCGATTGGTCGGAAACACCTCAAAAGCAGCCAAAACTGGAAAAAAAAACCCATAACAGATTCATAATAAACCCCTCAAACGCTGCCAAAACTGGAAATAAACATAACCGAATGGAAGAAAACCTCTCAAAATAAGCTAAAACTATAAGAGATAGTGCATAACCTGGCTTACTCGATCAAGTGAAAACCCTGCTTGCTTTTCCATCGTAAGATGATCTTAATTTTAAAAAAATAAGAGTGAAAGGTGATGGGTGATATGCTAGTGCTTTAATTAGATTTTAAGTTGTTTTTCTGATGATCTTCAGACGCTAAAAGTTAATCAGGAGTAGCAGTAAATTAGCTTCAGGATGTTATTGACATACACGGTTAAATTCCCCACTGCTTTCATCTGTTATAGTTAACTGATGATTATGGTTTTATAATAGCAGCCGATGGCTAATTTATGAAGCCATTGTGCTCTAACTATAACAATTAAATAATCATACACGTTACAATCTGTTGGATTTTTTTTTTTTTGGAGGGGAGATAATTGCTTGTGATTTAGTGATTTGGCCCCAGGGCTCCACATGAGTCTGTACACATTCTTACCTGTGCTGCAGAACATTGAAGGCTCACCGTGTTTCTCCATCAGGTATAAAACAGCCAAATATTGTTTGTGAATTCACTCACGTGTGCTGACCCCTGCAGAATGTAGCAGCTGAAAGGATGACAACAAATAAACAAGAACACAGGGGCAGAAAAGTACACGAGTACCTGCCTTTCATAGCAGAAATTAGCAAACTGGCCTCATTAATTGGTCTTTTTCTATTCAGTTGTGTTGAAAATATTAGTACTTCAGAGTTGTTGCGTAATTTATAAACTTTTTCTCTTTATTAATACAAGAGCCTTTTTAGAAATGTTTTTCTGTAGTCTTTTCTAAAAACGCTTATTTATACAATCCCTTTTTTTCCTTTATAAAAACATGATTTTCTGTTTAATTTGCACATTCTTGTGGTTTTCTTCGTAGTTAAAGGACTGAATATGGAATAAATCTAATTCCATAGAATACACACTCTGCCACTGTTTTTATATATTTCAAACTTTTTAAGATAGTGAATTTCACATGTGTCAAACTCAAGGCCCACGGGTCAAATCAGGACCTTGTAAGCATTTTATTTGGCCCCAAAGCTAATATTTTAAATGTGAAATTGTTTTATTTATTTATTTATTTATTTATTTATTTATTTATTTATTTATTTATTTATTTATCTTTTTGTCACTGTATTTAGAGCATTCTTCTCATGACAGCTGGCCAACTTTTAAGCTTTTAAGAAAAGTTTGAATTATTTTCAGAAATCTAGATTTTGGTGGGGAAAGAGCAACAGAGAATCAACTTTAATTCAATTTTTCTGTATTCTTTTCTTATTTTAAAGTCAAATAATTAGATTTTTTAGTAAGAAATTTGTTTTTTTTTTTACCTGACTTGCTGGATTGTGATGAAATGTATCTCTAAGACATAATAAATGAAAAAGTTGTTGGTAGAGTGTGTAAGACAAGAAATGAATGCTAAGGATTTTTCCCCCTATTTGTATGTTCTAAATGTTACAAACATAATTTGGAAAATGCAGTTTGTAGTTTCATAAGAATAATTTCTTATGCAACATTTTCAATAAATATTGAGAGAGTTTGGCCCTGCTTTGACCAAATTTTGAATTTTGCCTCTTTTTGTTACTGGGTTTCACACACCTGATGTAACTCCTTGGCCAGCTTCTCCCTTTATGTCATATTAGCGGCCAGTGTAATTCATTTAACCAATACTTTTCTGTTTTTATCAGCAAATAACTTCTGTTTCTTTGCAGCTCAGCATGGAACCTGCAGACTTAATCATTTTTACAAGACAGAGAGTGATTTCCTCATCAACCTGAACCCTAATTTCCATAAAGAAATGTTTTTTATTCTTAAAAAACGAGACACAACGCTTTCAGATGGACTTTTCCTAAGATGCAGGACTTAGCTCATTGGTGAGCATTGATCCAAACAGGAGTTGTTCACAGTGGCTAAGTTCAGTGTCTGACATGGAAGAATGAGCTCCTGCATACCTGAAGGTCCTGTCTGTCCATAAAAAAAAATAATTAAATAAAAACGAAGAGGGACTCGGCATGAAAAGGCACCTGTATTGTAAAGCCAAGTGTAATGCTGTAAAAGTCTTCTGCATGTCCAAACGTTAAACTCGTCAACTTCTTTTGATTTATCATGAAGCGGGGGTAAGATGAAGGAAATTTTTAATGATGGGCACCGAAAGGCCACGTCAGGATGATTTGTGAGCTTCAGTTTTTCCATCTTATTCCCAGCGCCACATGAGATCACCTCTTGAATAAGCCGAAAAAGTTGGGAGACAGAGATGATGCAAGTCATTAAAATGTCAACGTTTCTTTCGAATCCAGTCGTTCTTCGCCTTGCAGAGTTTGAAAATAGAAGCTCAATTATCCTGAGCCGGTGGGGAGTTTTCTCAGGTTGTGTACTCATGTGCCTACTGAACTGGATTCAGTGTGTCTTTGCAGAACTGGCTCAGTCCAGCAGGAACAAGTGTGACACCCAATAAAGCATCGCCAGCACGGAGGAGGAACCCTTCATCGTTTTCTTCATGAAACATTTCTTTATCAGTCAGGTGTCCGGTCAGGAGTGACGAAGTGAGGGAATGATGTATTTGTCCTCGGCGTGTGGGTGAATCTGCAGCAGCGGCTGGTTTATGCTGAGCAACACTTTGCGTCGCCTCCCTTCATTCGTCACGCCGTAATAAGCTGTCAGTGTGTCTGCGAGCGTCTTGGCTCAACTGGACTGCAACGGCTCGATGCCTCTGCAGTCATTATATACCTGAATGGGCCTGCTAACTGCATTAGCATAAGCAGGAGTGATCATCAGAAGATGTGCCGTTGATTCAAGCCAACCTGCGAGAACAATTACCTCTCTCACCTTGGGCCAACTTCCTGTGGAGTCGTTGCAAAAAGTCTGCAGAGGTTTGCAAAAGTCAGTTTGACCTGTTTAACATAAAAGTTGTTTTTTTTTAACCTTTTCACTTCTGTTTAATTGAAACATGTTGGCTTTTACTGTGTAACAAACAGAGTAGTAAAGTAACTAAGTACAAATACGTTGTTACTGTACTTAAGTAGAAATTTTGGTTATCTGTACTTTACTTGAGTAATTATTTTTCAGTGTACTTTTTACTTTTACTCTTCACATTTTTACACAATTATCTGTACTTTCTACTCACTACATTTTTTAAAAAGGTAAGAAGTAGAAAGTCGTTACTCCTATTTTATTCCGAGTTGTTATTACTAAAAGAAAATATGCTATCCTGATAAATTGTATTTCCTGAATAGAGTGAATTTAATTGTGTTTGGATGAGAAGTATAAATATACACTGACACAGTTACTTTGTACACAAC